CGCCTCGTTTTGCGTGCGCCGCTGTGCACTGCACTTCGAGGGCACTCATTCGCATGTTCTTACCATCGCCCAGGTTAGCGTGCCCGCGTCCACTGAACCGTCATTTCTAGATCTGACAACAGTGTATCTAGGATTTTCTGTATTTGCTGGTTTTGCGTGCCCTTGCACAGCACTTCGAGGCATTCATTTTCATAGCATTCTGTGTACGTTAGGACTATATCTTAGTTGCATTTCATGCATACATGCATTATCTGCATCTTGTCCGGAATGGAGTTAGCTCCGGGACGGGAAACGAGTCCATTTCGTACTCTGCAGTGACGGAATGTTGTCTCATTCCCCAGTCACCGACACGCAGGTTACCATGATGGAGCTAGGTTTTCTAGCTATGTAGTTTATGTGCATTCATCCTAATATTGAAGTTGTTGCATATTTCGGACTCCTCGCCATCAAGCCTCGGTATGCGTGATTGTGGTGCACAAGGATCGAGACATGCATATTTATTGAATTCAAATACATTGCTATTCCCCTTTCGCTGCTCTCTGTTGCCAGCAAAATCAGAATCGTAACTTTTTCGGAAAATTGGCACGCATTCAAGGAAACAGGGTTAAACAGAGGCTAATTGGGCATTCCGCGTGGATTCCCGACGCAACGACAATCCGGACATGCATCATCCGATCAGAAGCAAGCAAGGTCCTTGCTTGCACGCCAATTTTAATTTCTTCCATAGTAATTAATTATTAGAATTTGTAAACACTTGGACTTAATATTCTTTTATCCGGGACTTGTAACCATTTGACTGATATAATTTATTCGACCCCTCTCGCGAGTGGCACAACCTGTAATAATGTCGGTGTCGTGATGATGTCTTCCAACCCACGTTTTCTCCTTTTATTTAATCCACCTATGAGGTTAGATTAGCGGCATATTTAAAATTAGCATACAGTTATGACAGCATGTTTCGCATCATTTCATCTGTATCATGCCACGCGGTCGGGCACCATAGTCTAACTGATCGCTACTTTCAAATTCCAAAATGAATACATGGTAGTTGTAGCATTCACTATACCATCTTGAATAGCCGAGCCCATGCTATAGTCTGCATTTTTTGCAGCGTTGCATTAGGCCATTTCTGTAGTACTTTAGATCATGCCATCATTCTAAGACAGTTTTGTTTTGCTTGGAGTAGCCCGGTAAGTTTATGCTTTAGCATCCTTGCATGCGTACCTCCGTGCACTGTGCCCATTGAATAGCATGCTACCATGCAGCTCATGTGCTTATGTGATATAACTGCCTGAATGCTGTGGTGAAGGTTTGCGTTATCTGAATTGGAATAAATCATTCAAATTGTTTAAGCCTACCTGCCGGTAGCAAACCATTTTCCAAAAAAAGCGAACATGAAATGTTTTGTTCCAATTCGAAACGACTCGTCGATATACTTGTATGCTTGCGCATCCACATATAACCTATAGGCTAATAACCGAATAAGAGCACACAATTATCAAACAATTTATATCATATTAGTAGAGGCCGTCTATGACGCTCCAGCGAGCGGAGCGGTCTCACCGAAGACCTTCCCAATCGCCTACCCACAGTTCCCGAGCCGAGGCAACTTTGGTGATGCGGACACGTAGGCCTTTTGCACCCACGTCACAGTATTCTAAATTTCCCAAAATCAAATATTTAGTGGCCGAACTCAGTATCTGGCAAAGCAGTCCATGTTGGCACTACCCTTTTTCAAAAAATCAGTTTCTCAAAACGATTTGCCGGATTTGACTCTTTGTTCAGACTTAGAACCGTGACAGATGAAAAAGCCGATCCGAGCTGTTAGCGAGCCGTCCCCCCGCGGGCCCTGTTACAACTATCTACCTGGCTGCGTTGTTCAGAAAAATTTTGAAATTTGGGCTGCTGTTCAAACTTTCGTGATTGTGGCTGCGTGTTCACTATCTATCTGGGCTGCGTTTCAGAAAATTTGAAATTTGGGCTGCGTGTTCAACTTTTCAGTTAATTGTGGGCTGCGTGTTCCTATCTATCTGGGTCGCGTGTATCCAGAAAATTGAAAATTTGGGCTGCTGTTTCAACTTTCCAGATTAATTGTGGCTGCCGTACTTCACTATCTACCTGCTGCGTGTTGAGAAAATTTAAATTTGCGGCTGCGGTTCAAACTTTCAGTTAATTGGGCTGCGTTCGTTCACTATTCTACCTGCTGCCTGTTCAGAAAAATTTGGACCCTTGGCTGCTGTTCAACCTTCAAGTTTAAATTGTGGGCTGCGTGTCACTATACTACCTGGGCTTGGCAGTGTCGAAAATTGAAGTTGGCCTGCGTGTTCCAAATTTCAACTTTGCGCGCGCGTGTTCACTATCTAAATCGGCCTGTATGATTCAGAAAATGTAAAGTCTGGCGTGTGTTCACCTTTCGAATTCGGCGGTGTGTTCGCCAATATCATTAAATGCAGCCGAGTGTCAGACTTCAAGCATGCCAACTACATGTTCAAGTGTAAGCAATAGTACATGTTCATAAGCAAAACAGCATGTTCAAGCATGCAAAGATGCGAAATATAAAATGCAGAAATGACTGGTAAATACCGCTCGGCATCGTTGAGAGAGGATGCTGCCTCGGCTCTCTGAGAAGCCAATCCATGGTGCTCTCTCGTCAAAAGGTAAAATGACGTGAAAACGCGCGGGAGGACGTCGCGCGCGACCGGTACCTCTCGGCATGGAAAGGGCGAGTCCTCGAGTTGAGAGTCATTAGGATCGAAATCGTCTCCGGCACCTGGAAAAAACTCCACCGTGAGGAAGAATTGCCCGCCATTTCAAGAATCTGCAAAAGGGTAGCAAAAATTGAGCAAAATGAGCAAAAATTGGAAAAAGTCAACAAAGTCAACTCTCGGGAAAATAAAAAGTCACAAAAGTCAACTCCCAAGAAATCCTTCGAAATATAAGGCAAACTATACCTCAAGTGGTAAAAATGCCAAAAGACGCCCTTCAAATCAGATTTAATCGCTCCAAATTGCTTAAACGAGTGTTTTTAGCCGAAAACAATTTGCGCGGCGTATCGGAATGCGCGTGAAACGCAAATCTGCGGCGATGCAGAAAAAAGTGTAAAGAGGCAAAAATGAAGTGAGTTCGCTGCCATTTATAGCCTCAACCTGGGTGAAAAGGCATGCAAAAGCATGAGGGAAAATAACCCAAATATGCCCCCTGGGAAAGGGCATGGCCGCCCGGCCCCTATTTCTAGCGGCCAGCCCATCATGCTTTTTCGCAGATAGCAAATGGCCCAGCATTAGCTTCTTGGCAAAACGGTGGCCACTCCCCTCGGAAGAAAATGCCGCGCCATCATCCCCCACATGCTCACTAGCTCTCTGCAAATTTGAGGAAGATCGGAGTTCCCGGACTGACAAGTCAAGAAAAGTACACTTCCGATCCAGAAGTTGCTCTGGGACTTCGGTTTCATTTCTGCACATGGCTCTCATCATTCATCCGAAAAATCAAAAGTGTATCCCTTTTGAATGATTGTAACCTTTCGAAGAAGCAATCGTGAGTCGCCCGATTGAATTCACCTTCGCCCGCAAACACCAGATTCCGTACTCGTTGTTTCATAACAAATGAACACCTGATTTTTGTGCCTCGTTTTTGTACTATCGTGCACCATTGCTTGCATTCTCATGAGCATGACATCACATTGTCATGAACATTCTTATATTTGTATACCTCTGTGTTTGAGCAGTGCTTGCACGATATTCCATTCTGCATTGCGATGCATTCACCTCACCGGCACTGCGTCACCAACTCAGCATAAAACATGTGTCGAACTCGAAATCACATTAAAACATTCGTTAGCATATTGTACTTGTTGCAATTTCTCTCTTTTGCAGGCACGATATTTCTATGCTACGGTTTCAATTGAGGCTCGGTGCGACAGCCACCGAACGCAGTATTTGATCTTCTCCGTGTGAGACTGGCGGATCGAATAAATCCTCCCGCATTCTTAAACATGCATGAATATGCTATTGTTGCTTTGCATTCTTGCTTAAAAACTGTCCGCACCTATTTGCGAAGACTATGCTTCATCAGGCTTGCTGCATTTGCATGATCATTGGGTTACTTCGGCTTCTTGCATATCATTTGCATTTTTGCCCCACCTGCCTTGCGGCATGCCTGCTGGCGCATTTCTTGTTTATCCCGTATGTTTGTCTAAGTTTCGCCTTGTCAAAAAATGGGTCGTCTCTGGCTTGACATTCACAACAACACAACAACCGAGTTCTGTCAAAAGAGGGGCAACTGTAGAACACCCCATTTCTGAACCGACCTTAAGGACTTAGACGTCACCGATTGAGCGCTTGGTGATGTTGCATATTGTGCTCGTTCAAGAAGTTCAGAGTTGCGCCGTGAGCCTGCCTCCGGACTCCGAAACCTTTTCCTTGTGCCTTGTTCTCGTGTTGCCGAAACCCAAGACTCGGTTTTTTTTTTCTCTTGGGTTTAATTTCTCCCTTTTCTTCTTTTT